ACATGGCGGCGGTGGCAACAACAATACTACAGCGAGAATATAAGTTACGCCTTCTTTCTTTGCGTGAACGTTTGGGCGGCGTTATGCAAATCTTCCGAGATCGTGACGTAGGTATGTGGGGGTGTGTTAGAACGAGCCGTTTTAGGTAGGATTGGTTGACTCTTAACTTTTATAAAGAATATCTCTTTGGATTTGAGACTTTAGTCTTTGCAACTTTACAGATCTTCTTTATGCACCAAGAGCTTGTAACACTCCAAAGAGAAAGGAAAAATTGAAATCGCATCATATGACCCCTTTAAAGTAATGTAACTGATTACATTTGATTACTTTTCTAAATTTCTAATGTTTTCAACTGTTAATCATTTTCAAACATAAACCAGGCAGAGTTAACCTTACAGTAGTACTCAATAGTCAACACTGACTCCTGTCTGATTTTCGAAATCCTTCATCACTTGAATAAAGATTATAATATTTTAATTTTAAAGGAGACATTGGATGCAACCACCCTACAATGATAAAAATCCGTTCACTCCTTTTTTTTAATCCCCCAAAAACCTTCTCAATTTAATCTCAATTATCAAGCCATTTTGATTTTTTGAGCAGTATGATGTCATATTTGCTCAGGCCCGCCCACAATCGCTGAAGTACTGTCCAATATTAGTATAGTTTTGCACGAAGTCCATCACTTTCTCCGTGTTTGAGCAGCTGTAGCGACAATGTCTTGTAAGCAATACAGGTGTTTTGCAGTTTTGTGATGTAGAAGAACATAAGAGTGTTCATTTTCTCCTGACATCAGAGGATGCAGTGCATTAGTTTTGTTTTTGATGGTAATGCACCACCGAATACACCTAAATTAATTTATGTCTGCACAAATAATTTTACTCCAGACTGCTTTCTGTATGAGGGACAATTCAAGGCATGTTTTGTTAAAAAGTTAAAACTCAAGGATAGATCAGTACCCATTGTTTGTGATCCAGCTGCACTTCCAGAAGAAGTCTCACACTGCATAGCTATGATAGGAAACACTGTCTGGAATCTAACAGTGCCTTGGAAAAAACAGTTCATCTTAAAAAATGAAGCACAGCTATACATAAATCCATATTGGAAATAAAAGAGTTATCGAATAAGCATGTTCTAAACTCCTGAAACATTGGTGTTTCATATTTCATAGCAGTCACTGCAATTCATGAAAGAAATCAATTAAATCTGTATGTGGGAGTGTGTGTGAACAAATCAGATGTAACCCCCTTTGTAATCCTTAACGTTTTCATAAGTAACTGTAATTTAATTATACATTTTTTCTCAGTAACTG